ATTTTAACATGTTCGATCGTAAGATCATCGAATTTGTGACTTCAAGTAAGTTTTTCAAAACTGTTATATTTTATGTATTTTAACATGTTCGATCGTAAAATCATCGAATTTGTGACTTGAAGTAAATTTCTCAAAACTGTTATATTTTGTGTATTTTAACATGTTCGATCGTAAGATCATCGAATTTGTGACTTCAAGTAAGTTTTTCAAAACTGTTATATTTTGTGTATTTTAACATGTTTGATCGTAAAATCATCGAATTTGTGACAAAGTAAGTTTCTCAAAACTGTTCTATTTTGCATATTTTAACATGTACGATCGTAAAATCATCGAATTTGTGACTTCAAGTAAGTTTTTCAAAACTGTTATATTTTGTGTATTTTAACATGTTCAATCGTAAAATCATCGAATTCGTGATTTCAAGTAAGTTCTCAAAACTGTTATATTTTGTGTATTTTAACATGTTCGATCGTAAAATCATTGAATTTGTGACTTCAAGTAAGTTTCTCAAAACTGTTATATTTTGCGTATTTTAACATGTACGATCGTAAAACGATCGAATTTGTCACTTCAAGTAAGTTTTTCAAAACTGTCATATTTTGTGTATTTTAACATGTTCGATCGTAAAATCATCGAATTTGTGACTTCAAGTAAGTTTCTCAAAACTGTTATATTTTGTGTATTTTAACATGTTCGATCGCAAAACCATCGAAATTGTGACTTCAAGTAAGTTTCTCAAAACTGTTATATTTTGTGTATTTTAACATGTTCGATCGTAAGATCATCGAATTTGTGACTTCAAGTAAGTTTTTCAAAACTGTTATATTTTATGTATTTTAACATGTTCGATCGTAAAATCATCGAATTTGTGACTTGAAGTAAATTTCTCAAAACTGTTATATTTTGTGTATTTTAACATGTTCGATCGTAAGATCATCGAATTTGTGACTTCAAGTAAGTTTTTCAAAACTGTTATATTTTGTGTATTTTAACATGTTTGATCGTAAAATCATCGAATTTGTGACAAAGTAAGTTTCTCAAAACTGTTCTATTTTGCATATTTTAACATGTACGATCGTAAAATCATCGAATTTGTGACTTCAAGTAAGTTTTTCAAAACTGTTATATTTTGTGTATTTTAACATGTTCAATCGTAAAATCATCGAATTCGTGATTTCAAGTAAGTTCTCAAAACTGTTATATTTTGTGTATTTTAACATGTTCGATCGTAAAATCATTGAATTTGTGACTTCAAGTAAGTTTCTCAAAACTGTTATATTTTGCGTATTTTAACATGTACGATCGTAAAACGATCGAATTTGTCACTTCAAGTAAGTTTTTCAAAACTGTCATATTTTGTGTATTTTAACATGTTCGATCGTAAAATCATCGAATTTGTGACTTCAAGTAAGTTTCTCAAAACTGTTATATTTTGTGTATTTTAACATGTTCGATCGCAAAACCATCGAAATTGTGACTTCAAGTAAGTTTCTCAAAACTGTTATATTTTGTGTATTTTAACATGTTCGATCGTAAGATCATCGAATTTGTGACTTCAAGTAAGTTTTTCAAAACTGTTATATTTTGTATATTTTAACATGTTCGATCGTAAAATCATCGAATTTGTGACTTCAAGTAAGTTTTTCAAAACTGTTATATTTTGTATATTTTAACATGAACGATCGTAAAATCATCGAATTTGTGACTTCAAGTAAGTTTTTCAAAACTGTTATATTTTGTGTATTTAAACATGTTCGATCGTAAAATCATCGAATTTGTGACCTCAAGTTAGTTTTTCAAAACTGTTATATTTTGTGTATTTTAACATGTTCGATCGTAAAATCATCGAATTTGTCACTTCAAGTAAGTTTCTCAAAACTGTTATATTTTGTGTATTTTAACATGTTCGATCGTAAAATCATCGAATTTGTGACTTCAAGTAAGTTTCTCAAAACTGTTATATTTTGCATATTTTAACATGTACGATCGTAAAACCATCGAATTTGTCACTTCAAGTAAGTTTTCCAAAATTGTTATATTTTGTGTATTTTAACATGTTCGATCGTAAAATCATCGAATTTGTGACTTCAAGTAAGTTTCTCAAAACTGTTATATTTTGTGTATTTTAACATGTTCGATCGTAAAATCATCGATTTTGTGACTTCAAACAAGTTTTTCAAAACTGTTATATTTTGTGTATTTTAACATGTTCGATCGTAAATCATCATCGAATTTGTGATTTTCAATAAGTTTCTCAAAACTTATATTTTGCATATTTTAACATGTGCGATCGTAAAACAATCGAATTTGTGATTTTCAGTAAGTTTCTCAAAACTCTAATATTTTGCATATTTTAACATGTACGATCGTAAAACCATCGAATTAGTGATTTTCAATAAGTTTCTCAAAACTCCTATATTTTGCATATTTTAACATGTACGATCGTAAAACCACCGAATTTGTGATTTTCAACAAGTTTCTCAAAACTCTAGTATGTTGCACATTTTAACATGTACGATCGTAAAACCATGGAATATGTGACTTTAAGCAAGTTTCTCATAACTCTTATATTTTGCATATTTTAACATGTACGATCGTAAAACCATCGAATTTGTGATTTTCAGTAGGTTTCTCAAAACTCTTATATTTTGCATATTTTAACATGTGCGATCGTAAAACCATCAAATTTGTGATTTTCAATAAGTTTCTCAAAACTATTATATTTTGCATATTTTAACATGTACGATCGTAAAACCATCGAATTTCCGATTTTCAGTAAGTTTCTCAAAACTCTTATATTTTACACATTTTAACATGTACGATCGTAAAACCATCGAATTTGTGA